TTTACACTCACTGGCCAATTCATTTGAACCACCTACGTTGTACTTTGAGCTTTATCTTCATTTCACTTTGTAATTCCACTATATAGGTATGCAATTACAGACTGTAGCCCATCTTTTGATGCACAATTTATTGGTTACCCTCTACTCCATCATAAGTCAGTTTTTGACAGCCAGACCAGCATTGACCAGACATGATTTGGGTGGTGGATCATTCTCAATACAGCAGTGATACTGTCATGGTAACGGTATGGTATTTTGCACTTGTTAGCATCAGTGCTAGGTTAAGACTGTTCCACCACCCACAAATATCCAGCCAATAGATGAAGGACTAGAGCAGAGGTCATGAACCTTATCCACAAAGGGCCAGTGTGCTTGCCAGTTTTCTGTTCAGCCAGGTAAGAGCATATCTCATAAATGTATCGCTGTTTAAAGACAAGTGTAGTGAGGTGTGCTTCTGCTTTATTATAACCTGCAGCCACACTGACCCTTTGTGGATTATAAGTAGTGACCCTAGGACTAGGATGGCTACACAAACTGTGCATCAGCTGATGAACTACAGTCCCTAACTGTACACCTGAAAAGTGGAGCTACATTGTCAGTGAGTGTAGAGATGTTTTATCAAGAAATGTTTATTCCAGGATTTTGTCTAACTCTAGACTAGTTTTACATCCAATGCTGTGACCAAAACTTGAAATTTAAGTAATCAAATGAAGTTTTAGGTTGGTTGACTTGAATACTTTTATAGGTTTTTAAATAAATTTCATATAGAAGTATGCAAATGTTGTTGTTCTTTCATTTAAAGCCACATTGAGTGTTTTTTACAGCTGTTTATCAGATTTGTACTGTTAACCAGTTTTTTTTTATTTTACAAACAAGAACAAAGGAGACAATTTACAGTCATAAAATGTTTTCATTTTTGATCTGTTGGTTTATATGTTAAAAGTCCAGTCTATACAGGTTAAAAGAGGAACATGCTCTCAGATCCTTTCATGGTTTGTTTTGGTGCCTGCCACAGTGAAGTCACTGTGGCATGTAACTGCATAGACAAGAATAAACTGTTTCTGGAAAGTCTCATGGGAGATGTTACTATAAATCTGACACCACAAAGACTGGCACAAGCTTGCAGGAGAACATGTAAGTGCTGTACTATCCACACAAACCTTCAGATGCCCTCTTCACTCAGATGATTTCCTCACCCCATTGCTGATGGCACTGGCCTCCCCACTTTGTTTTACTGACTTTCCTTGTGTTTCATACTGTGCCAGTGAGAAGATATTTAAGAGAATACTCCTCATCCTCTGTAGTTGTTTCAGTACTTTTGATATCCTTCCCATTTGGATTTATTTCATTACAACTGTGAATTTCTCAATATAAGGTGCAATGAGATGCTTGTCAACTGCAGAAATGACAGAAAATCACACAAGGAGAAAGCAAAGCAGTAAAATTTCTTCAGTCATTACCCAGAGCAGGTTTGAACCAAGGCACTGCCAGTACACTATACTGTGCCAATATTAAGTTAGTTAAAGCTGCATAAGTGTGTACGTTTTGGGTGTTTGAAGCAGCTCTCTGAGGTCATGAATGTACATTAGACGCTGTTATAAACTCCTATAACTGGAGTTCAAAAAGCACTTAAAAATAAAACAGTGGTGTCAATGTTTTAAGCTGTTCTGTGTTCAGGAAATGAATGCATTCTTTATAGTATATATATATATATATATATATATATATATATATATATATATATATATATATATATAAATTAAGCATTTACACACTGTGATCTTGTTCACATTCTTAATATTAACCCATTTCGCTCAGGAGTGCCCTCTAGAGTTTGACAAGCCCAAAAGACAACTGAGTGGTAATTCTCTTGTCTACAAATTCTCTGATTAGGCTGCCACGCATAATCACAATCAGTGATGTACCTAGGGCTTCTAGAAGGCCTAAAGTGACTAATTTTCTACTGAGGATCAAAACGTGAATTGGTTGATTCTTCTGTTGTGTCGAAATTATGCTGATTGTTGATGTAACTCTTCAGCACTTGAAGTCCTGACCAGTAGAAAAGCACACTTAGCTGTATCTACCTAAACCATGGACAAAATCAATTCCTGATTGGCCAATTTTCTGCTTGGCATTTCAAGACTTTAACCCTTTTGTTCCCATCCTGAACTTAACAATGAAACAGGAGTGGTACTGTAATACTTGCAGAGTTTAAATGCAATCATTATTCTATTGAATAAAAATTAACATTTAGTTTCCAAAAATCATTAGGCCTTCTCTGAAGTAGTAAATAAAATGGCGACGTTTGTGCTGTAGACATTGTGGCCCCTGGTCTTTATCACCACCACGGTAAAGAACATCTGAGTCTGTAACTTTCTCTACAGTTAACCATTTCATGTCAAACCACTCTGAATGACTGATAACATCTCAAGGACATACTTATTCAGAAATATTTAAAAACGGTAGAATTACCCTTTAAAATCAGTGACAGGCTTTACTGTTAACTGTAGTGGCTTGCATGGAGATAAAAATGTGTTAACTCTGACCAAGGGTCGTTGCGAAGTGAAATCGGGGGTGTGAGCTTAAGCTTCACAGCGACATAGACCACTGTAGTCGTGCGTCATTCTGTAGTCTGTGTTATGCCCATATTAGCAAATCCGGGTCCAAGCTCCATTTCTCTACATAAAATCGTTCAGAACCCGATATGTTTTGTCCTGTGTACATTTTCCTCCTGAGCATCACTGGATCCTCTAATGACCTCGTAATTCAAAGAGCCTTAATACTAATATTTCTACATGTGAGCTGAAGCTACTGCGCATCAATAAGATGTCACTAAGATACACGAAAGTAAGGCAGGCTAACGCGGTGTTCTGACGAGTTGTGCTACCTAATCAAAATGTCTTACCGTGGCGCATATTTATGGGTATACCCATAAATAAAATCTCTAGGTAGGACATTACGAGCCTTTGATAAGGAGCCTAAAACTCCTTATCAAAAACTACTAGCTGTGTTAAAACCACGAGGCTGAATTTAGCTTCTTTTTTGCCAGCTTCTTTTTCAGGTGTTTTGCCTTAAATGGTGCAGCAGTTGTGATTAGCTATCACAAACATTAGCAAACGGGACAAAACAATACTGACCTGTTGGTTCGGTGAAACAGCAAAAAGAAGTTGTCAAGCAGAAATCCAGAAACCTGCTCATATCATGCCATTCAACTCTCCATGAAGCTGAAGTCTGCTTGTTTTTTGCCAGCTGCTTGTTCGAATTTTCCCATTGCCAGTGAACTCCAGTGCCATTTAAGGTGGAATGGGAAAATTCGAACAAGATGCTGGCTAATGTCCTGAAAAAATGTCCTCAGAAAATGTTACCAATATTAAAATAATAATTAGGATACTTTGATAACCTAAATAAGCTTATCAAGGGGTGAGCAGTGATATTAAGCTGAGTCTGTACTGAATTAGCCTGAATGCAGGTAAGTTTGTAGAGCTTTTCAAATCAAGCTGTGCACAGAACGGAGAGATCTATCATGTTTCAGTAAGTAACAGACGAAGAACAGAGAACTGCAGGGAAACCTGCTTCTTTTGTTCTGACTTCTTTTCATCTGCCCTCAGTCTGTACATGGAAATACACACCAGACTGGGAAAGCATGCTGGTTTGTACGGTTCTTAAGGAAGCTGCCAGTCTAATAATGTCAATTCAGTGCACAGTAGCATTTGTTGTATGTTTGGGTTCCCCCGTTTTATTTCATTTTAAAACTGAGCAACTGCCTGATTTACCTCAACAGTTACGAATAGAATCAAGATTCTCTTGACGTTTATTCTATGACTTTTTTCCGCTGAATCGTATTTGGATCTAGACATCAGTATTATGTGTAAAACTCAATGCCAAAAACTGCACTGCAGTGCACTGGTATGTTAGGTTGTTGTTAGGGTGTTGCCAGGCAGCTGATATGGTATTTCAGGTGGTTACTAGAGTGATGTGGTTGCCATAGTATTTCAGCTGCTTGCAAAACCATTGCAAGATGGTTGTTAGGTGTTTACTATGGTATATTAGGTGGTTCCTAGGACATTACTAGGACACACCTAGAGTCAGGTGGTTTCTACATCATTCCAATTGGTTGCGGGATGTTGCTAGGTGGTTACTTGGATGTTGCTAAGCAGTTCACATAATCATATGTGGGCTGTAAAAGGTGGTGAATTTTGAGCTTATAATAATAATAAGAAGAAGAAGAAAAATAACTGGATGTTAGCAAAGTCTTGTGAGTAAAACACAATAGCAAAGAACCGCAATACTTCAGTGTTTATTTTCTGACAGTTAGTCTCCTCCGTTCTGAAGGACGTGGTGGTCTGAACTATGACGTGCCCTTAACTGCCCTCCTCTAAAAATGTCATGACCTGGAACATAAACCAAAAAACCTGCATAAGAGAAGTGTAGAGAAACACTTCTGAAGCACTTCTTCATTTTCATTTATTGCATGTAAACATATCACATTATCTCATTTGTTTGTTTTTTTTATAAAAACACTAAATATCTGAGCTTTACTGCTTCTTCTGTTTGTGTTTACTTCCTCTCCTCCCTGGCTAACCTGATCCTAGGTTGGCACGTTGTTTCGTAACCAGTCATGCTGCTGTATCTGCTGCAAATTAGGCCTCCTAGTTGGGGTACGCTGCAGGCACCAGCCAATTAGATTACGGCATTCTGCACAGAGTGACGGGATTGGGTGGGAGAAAGATGCTTAACCTCTAAATCTTTTTGCTTTTTTCTTCTTCTACATTTCAAAAGCACCACCATGTGATGGATGGGATGCAGCTATAACATTCAAACTATTATTAACTTATTTACACTATATAATATATAAAGTTTTATACATTATTATAAACATATACATTTAGGGACATCTGGCCTGAACTGCAAATTCTCCAGCTGTTACTCTGCACATTCACCTCCAAATACAGATTTTGTTTTCAGTCTTTGTTCCTCTGTCCTCAGTTACAAGGTTAAAGTTATGAATCATTGTCATTTCCACACTCGTTTACCAGGATGCTCTCATTTATCTCACCATCAGATAGTCCATCTCTGAAGTGCAGAGCCCCATCAATGATGTCATCATCCTTGGCAAAGGGAAGGAACCCGCAAACCATCCTGAACATTAGGACACCAAGGGACCAAACTGTTGCTGGACCAGCATGATACCTCTCTTCCAGAAGAAACTCAGGAGGGCAGTATTCGTTTGTGCCTGTGAAAATGAAAGAGGGAGAGAAATGAGCAGAGCTGAGCACAGACATTCACTAACACTGAACAGCTAAGTTGCTTGTTTTACCTTCAAAAATGTTGTAACCATATTTCTTGATCAAATCGCCGCAGCCAAAGTCGATCAGCTTGACCTCCAAGGTGTCCTGGTTGATCAACAAGTTCTCCGGTTTGATGTCCCGGTGCAGGACACCTCGCTTGCTGCACTGGAATGCCGCCACCACAGACTGCCAGACTATATCTCGCGCCATGTCTTCAGTGACGTGACCTCCATAGTCCTGAAGGAAACTGTCCAAGCTCTTGCAAGGGTCAGGGCGCTCCAGGATCAAGATGTAGCGGTCAGGCTCATCAAACCATTCGATGAGCTGGATGACGGTTTTGCAGATGGGTGGCTGGCTCATGATCTGCAGCAGAGCCACCTCCACAGGCACAACCTTAAACTCAACAGGCTGCAGGAAAATAGGTGGTTAGATGGTGAGGAATTATCAGTGAAGATCATAAGGATGGACTCATGGTGGCTTAACATCATTATGTGTTACTATCAGCATTTATTTCAGTCAAGATTTGGAAGTAAAGAGCGTTCAGAGGCTGCAGGTGCACTTACACTTTGGACATATCGGTCATCATGCAGTTTTTGCACAAATTTGATGGCCACCTGCACACAATCACAATAAATATGATAAAACTACAAGCACTGAAAAGGGAAAAGAAGAGATGATGATAGTAATATAGAATTTAGAGAGTGAAAGAGCTCAGAACCTGTAGGCCATCAGACACTCGCTGTCCTTTGAAGACAGATCCAAAGCTTCCTTCGCCTAGTTTTTCTCCAACAATATAGCGAGTGGCAAAGGTGTCTATAGAAAAAAGTGTTACAAATGAACATCAGCCATCTTCAAATAATCTAGCATCAGTTTACTAATCATTAACTGGCTATGAGAGAAGCAGTGAGATCTAGTTTCTGACCAGGCCACTGTAAATATGAATCATTATCATAATTATAGTGCACTATGAATAAAATGAAGTGTAGATGATTTAGGTGATAATAGACTGACCAGGCTTGGCGGCTTTCCTCTGTCTACGAGTCTGTCTCTTGGGCTGCTCCACTGCCCCTTTTCTCTTCTTCCTCGCTGGAGCTTCAGTGTTAGGAACCTCCAGCACTTCAACCAGTCCTTTCTTAGCAGCATTGTTGTTTGTTCCCTGCAGGACAGTCTGGCTACAGCCTTCCTCTGACCTTTTTCTCTTTCCAACTGAATACAGGACCATCATTTGATTATTAAAAGTAATACATCTCATATTATCATCTACATTTCATACAACATAAGCTGAATATATCTACAGTAATGATAATACTAGGAAGATACATTGTATTATACGCTAATTTTCTTTTTTAAAGGATGTGGTGATGTCGACAGGCACTCGTACTGCACTGGTGGTCATAAAAGTCTCTGATGGAATCTAGATCTTAATCTTACTAGAACACAACAAATAGACACAGCATTAATGTACACAGTTAAACTCGGACTGTGTGGAACAACCTTTGTGTTCAGAGCGCTGCTCCATCATCTGCTGTATGAGCTAAAAACAACCTGCAGACTCAGTTTCTTCTAAAAGATTTAACTATAAATTATGTAAACTAGACGTGTGGAACGTGTTTTTCTCGTCGACTGACTAGAAATGGCAAAATTCCTCGCGCAGAAAGTCGTGTCGTTATCCTCATCAATTATGATGTCATAATGAGGGCGCTCTGATTGGCTCATGTTGCCGTGACGCTGTTTAGAATTTTCGTCTTGTGAACTGAATTTGTGTGTATTTAAAACTGTCAGATGTTTCCAAAGAAAACACGACTCAATAAAAAAATACACTAAACTGACTCAAATGAAAGATGCAGTGAGAGGCCATTCATCTCGTATGTAAATGTATTTGAGAGTTAAAGCCACGCCCCCCTTATTGTAGCACAACGTGATTCCGTTACTCATTACACGCGTTCGCTTCTCTCTGTAGTTTCTATCTGTGGCCAGTAGATGGCGGACTGTCTCTCTGATAGGAACAGTCAACGTCTGTAGAAAAACTGCTGTTTCAGCTCCTCACATCTAAATGACTGAACTACATTATCATCTCATAGTTTGGAGACCATATAGGGATATATACAGCAGTGAGAGAAAGGCTGTGAATGCTGTACTAGTATATGGATTTTTGTATGAATGGCTCTTAAAATGTGATCTACTCTTCGTACTGCAGCAGTCTGAGGTCTCTGTATATGTGTTTACTGATATTAGGTTTAGGATTTAGTTACAGTAGCTACAGTAATCCAGAAGTCAGGAGAAATACCCCCAAAGAGGAATATAAACATGTGTGTTTAAACTCGCATAGTATCCACTACAGGTACAGTGTGTAAGATGAACTCTTTTACAGTCATTTCTAAGATTAATTCCTACATTGTGTAGTGCAGTCTGTGGTTTTCCTGCACTGACAGAACTCCACTGATACTCTCTTTAAAGGTTATTTTAGAAAAGCGCATTCAGGAATGTGATGCTGTTTTGAACAGATAAACATGCTGTTGGGCACTAAGAGATCTGTTGTTTCTGAGTTCAGCTATGAGAGTTCATGGTATTCACCTTGTTTACTTTTATGTTTAAGGTAGAATTTATAGGGTCAGTTTCCTGGACAGGGATTAAACCCAGTTCTAGACTGCACAGGATTATGACTGGTGATTCTCCACTGAAAGATAAATAGAGTCCTGGGCTAGACTTAATCCCTGTCCTGGAAATAATGACCAATAAGGTTATTTACTAGTGGCTTGTTTGATTATCTTTCATGATTTAAGACTTTCTCAGTTGTCAAATGTCAAATTCCAGTTGTTCAGAGTCAAACAGCCAGGGGCGCTTTAACCTGCTTGGGGGTCTTGTGGCTACAAGTGGTTATGGGCCCTATGTGTGTAGTTACACACAGAATCCAAAACTTCCACAACTGCCATTCATCATCTTACCTTCACTGCACAAACTTAGACTAAGCTAAAGTTAGCTTCTTATCTACCAGGGTTTAGAACAATCCATTCCACTTTAAATGGTGCTGCAGTTGCATTCTGGCTGCTGTAACTGTTGAAATTCACACTGAACTTGAGGTGAATTTCAACTTCAGATCATGTGCACAAGCTGCACTCTGCCCAGTCTGTCATGTGACACATTTCCAGTAGTGTGTGGTACAGTTTACTCTGTCAAATCATCAGTATCACCAAAACAAACCAAGGACAAGCTGTAGTCTACTGTCTGATTTGGAGGCCTAAAACAAACCTTGCAGTAAACACACGTGCAATCTCCACACAACTCCCAGAGTGAGCTGGGAGATAACTGTGGTCACACACATCTTCAAATAGAGAAGATGCGATGTCATCAGCTGGGACTTCAGAGATGACTGCAGCAGACAGGGAAATATTTAATCCTGAGCTGTAACATTGCCGGCTTGTCCAGGTGACACCCTGCAACGGATCATGAGACGCTGAAAAACATTCTGGAAGTGTGCAGGAGTTGAGCTGTTGTTCCAGCCACCTGACATGATAGAAACATAGTGGCTCTGTTCAGTAAATTTCATCTAAAAACTGGCAATCCCACAAGTCAAAACATCTAAATGGATTGATGGTATAACATGTAGAAATATTTTCAACAATATATTTGCTTACTTATAGTTACAAGTATCTACTTTCTATTTAAATACACAAATGCAGTGTGTGGCAGATGTGATACAAAATGCACAGTTCAACAGTAATGGTAACAGGTCCTGCTGATGCTCGGCTGGAATTAAACAGGAACTCTAGGTGGTGCAGACATATTGCTGAGACAGAAGTAGTTCTGAGATCATCAAGGTCAAGGTGTTGATGTTGTGTATGTGTATGTATTAGTTCTTAACACCAATCAAAATGATGAGGCATTTTAATTTTACATATTTAAAATACATCCGTATATTAGCAGTGTTTAATATTATTATTAATATGAACGAAACTGATGGGGCAATTTCAAAATTCCTCTGTGTTACACTGTAAAAAAAATATTTCAACTTTAAGAAGAAATAACCTGGCACTCTTAAAATTGGGAGTTCACTAAACATGTAATATTAATTTTACAGAACAATAAATGTGTGTTACAATTTCTTATTTTTTATATTATATTTACATTTATATAAATTTACATTTATTTGTTGTGTTAAATTTATAATCTACAAATTTAAAATTAAAACTTACACTTTTTAAGGCAGCCAGGTTACTTATTTTTATATGGTAGAACTCCAGATTATTTTTTACATTGTAGTTGGGTTTGATATTATTACTGAAATGAAAGAAACAGACAAGCCAATTTGAAATGAACCTCTTTGGGCGGTAAAGTGGTGTCCCATCACGCAGTGCCAAAGTTGTCAAGTACAGCTGGGCTCCTCTCAAAAACTCAAACATCTCTTCCCAGTTAAGGAAACCAAGTGGAGCCTTGAAGCCTTTGGAAGGTGGATTATGACTGTTGATGGTGTCAATCTGTGTCACCTAAAACACAGCCTAAACACTCAACATTGCAAAAGTAAATAATTGGTTAAATGACACAAGATGATATTACAGGCCAGAAGTCCAGGTCTTCTATTGCTTTGTGTGTAAACTCATTTTAATTAATCAGTATATTAAATTCTCTGGCCTATTGTGGGAAATTAGAGCTAATGTATTGAACATTACCTCAATAAACTGAACCGTGGCTGAACAAGCCTGGAACTGTGGATAACCAGCATTCTTCAGCATTTTCAGGGCTACTCCAACAGACCGGCTAAGAGTATGTGCAACCAACGAGACCTTCATCTTCTGACTGTTAAAGCTGACGTGTTTCCTTGTGATCCGTTTTGCAGCATGAAGACCCTCTTTCTCTTGTACATTATTTAGATGGCAAATATAGCACCAGTCCACTTGTCCATCAGGACTTACAATAGGACCGTAAGCCTGCAGCATATTTCGTATCAACTTTAACATATGCAGGCATCCATCATCACAAACACTCACTCCCTGGTTGAAGGGTGAGCAAAGTATGTCTTTAAAGGCTCTGTCGCATTCAGTTTAGCTGGCACCCAACACATGTTGATATTAGATGTCCTTCCATTGTCACACACAGTACGTTGATGCCTCTTTTGTGCAGTGCCTCTAGGGCATGCTGCAGTAAAATGTTCTGGGAGTCTGGTGTCAGTGTGTTAGTGATGAAGTAGGCAACTGGGACCTTCCACTGACCTTGCAATCCCCTGACCATGAACACAAGGGCCTTGGTTGCGTTACTGGTCTCATCAGCATGACCTCCAAGATCTACAAAGCCAGGCATCTTTTGTGTACAATGGTCACACTGTACTTGCCGTCTGATGGTCATGGCATTCATCAATGCACACCTGACTATATTTTGCTGGCTCTTTGCCTCTTTCTTTGAAGCATATTTAAGATAGCTTTAAGTTTAAGAATTTACTGAAATATGAGCTGAAAAAACACAAAACACTAAAGTATTTCATGAATGTGTTACAAGCTTTATGCTAATACTAACCAGACACTAGAAGACTTTGAAAAGACTTTTGAAAGACTTTTTGAAAGCCTGACACCCTCTCACATCTAAAGACAATGTCAAAGAGTTTTTAGTCACAGACTATGATTTTACAAAGACTGGGGTTCTTGCAGTGTCACTATTTGCAAGAATGCGACTAGATTTTTGAAATTAGCCTATTTCCCATCATGCACCTGGTGGAAATTTACCAGCATAGAAACCCTTTTTCCTTCTCCACTCTATAGTACTAATGGGAAGATACTTTGGCTGAGCTTGTAAAAATCTGGGGCTCAGCCCAGTTCACTGTAGAAGTATATATTTTTGCACATCGTCACCCAGTGTTTTTTTAACTGACCGTATAATGTTACTTTTTTTATTTAACATAAAGATTTACTCATCAACAAAACATGCAGCGCCTCAGCAAAAAACATACACCGAGTGAGACGAGCTGATTTCACAGTTCATGCAGTATAAGGTAGCTGATGATTTGCTGTAGCCAGTAAGCGCACCAAATTTAGTGTAATACCAAAAACGTGGTTAGGGGGCAGTGTAACAATATTGTTACTTCAGAGATCATTTCATACACTTATCAGTGTACAACATGTATTATGCTGAATCAAAAACATGCAGATATCACAGACCTGCTATTAGAATAGAGTTTTTGATTTTGTAGGAAAAATAATGTGCTGAGCCTTAAAAAATAACTGTAAATGAGCTCATCTTACACACTGTACCTGTATACTGGATACTATGCGAGTTTAAACACACATGTTTTTATTCCTCTTTGTGGGGTATTTCTCCTGACTTCTGGATTACTGTAGCTACTGTAACTAAATCCTAAACCTAATATCAGTAAACACATATACAGAGACCTCAAACTGCTGCAGTACGAAGAGTAGATCACATTTTAAGAGCCATTCATACAAAAATCCATATACTAGTACAGCATTCACAGCCTTTCTCTCACTGCTGTATATATCCCTATATGGTCTCCAAACCATGAGATGATAATGTAGTTCAGTCATTTAGATGTGAGGAGCTGAAACAGCCCCAGTTCTTGTGCAGCTGAGCTGCGCAGCAGTTTTTCTACAGACGTTGACTGTTCCTATCAGAGAGACAGTCCGCCATCTACTGGCCACAGATAGAAACTACAGAGAGAAGCGAACGCGTGTAATGAGTAACGGAATCATGTTGTGCTACAATAAGGGGGCGTGGCTTTAACTCTCAAATACATTTACATACGAGATGAATGGCCTCTCACTGCATCTTTCATTTGAATCAGTTTAGTGTATTTTTCTATTGAGTCGTGTTTTCTTTGGAAACATCTGACAGTTTTAAATACACACAAATTCAGTTCACAAGACGAAAATTCTAAACAGCGTCACGGCAACATGAGCCAATCAGAGCGCCCTCATTATGACGTCATAATTGATGAGGATAACGACACGACTTTCTGCGCGAGGAATTTTGCCATTTCTAGTCAGTCGACGAGAAAAACACGTTCCACACGTCTAGTTTACATAATTTATAGTTAAATCTTTCAGAAGAAACTGAGTCTGCAGGTTGTTTTTAGCTCATACAGCAGATGATGGAGCAGCGCTCTGAACACAAAGGTTGTTCCACACAGTCTGAGTTTAACTGTGTAAAATTAGCGTATAATACAATGTATCTTCCTAGTATTATCATTACTGTAGATATATTCAGCTTATGTTGTATGAAATGTAAATGATAATATGAGATGTATTACTTTTAATAATCAAATGATGGTCCTGTATTCAGTTGGAAAGAGAAAAAGGTCAGAGGAAGGCTGTAGCCAGACTGTCCTGCAGGGAACAAACAACAATTCTGCTAAGAAAGGACTGGTTGAAGTGCTCGAGGTTCCTAACACTGAAGCTCCAGCGAGGAAGAAGAGAAAAGGGGCAGTGGAGCAGCCCAAGAGACAGACTCGTAGACAGAGGAAAGCCACCAAGCCTGGTCAGTCTATTATCACCTAAATCATCTATACTTCATTTTATTCTAAGTGCACTATAATTATGATAATGATTCATATTTACAGTGGCCTGGTCAGAAACTAGATCTCACTGCTTCTCTCATAGCCAGTTAATGATTAGTAAACTGATGCTAGATTATTTGAAGATGGCTGATGTTCATTTGTAACACTGTTTTCTATAGACACCTTTGCCACTCGCTATATTGTTGGAGAAAAACTAGGCGAAGGAAGCTTTGGATCTGTCTTCAAAGGACAGCGAGTGTCTGATGGCCTACAGGTTCTGAGCTCTTTCACTCTCTAAATTCTATATTACTATCATCATCTCTTCTTTTCCCTTTTCAGTGCTTGTAGTTTTATCATATTTATTGTGATTGTGTGCAGGTGGCCATCAAATTTGTGCAAAAACTGCATGATGACCGATATGTCCAAAGTGTAAGTGCACCTGCAGCCTCTGAACGCTCTTTACTTCCAAATCTGGACTGAAATAAATGCTGAGTAACACATAATGATGTTAAGCCACCATGAGTCCATCCTTATGATCTTCACTGATAATTCCTCACCATCTAACCACCTATTTTCCTGCAGCCTGTTGAGTTTAAGGTTGTGCCTGTGGAGGTGGCTCTGCTGCAGATCATGAGCCAGCCACCCATCTGCAAAACCGTCATCCAGCTCATCGAATGGTTTGATGAGCCTGACCGCTACATCTTGATCCTGGAGCGCCCTGACCCTTGCAAGAGCTTGGACAGTTTCCTTCAGGACTATGGAGGTCACGTCACTGAAGACATGGCGCGAGATATAGTCTGGCAGTCTGTGGTGGCGGCGTTCCAGTGCAGCAAGCGAGGTGTCCTGCACCGGGACATCAAACCGGAGAACTTGTTGATCAACCAGGACACCTTGGAGGTCAAGCTGATCGACTTTGGCTGCGGCGATTTGATCAAGAAATATGGTTACAACATTTTTGAAGGTAAAACAAGCAACTTAGCTGTTCAGTGTTAGTGAATGTCTGTGCTCAGCTCTGCTCATTTCTCTCCCTTTCATTTTCACAGGCACAAACGAATACTGCCCTCCTGAGTTTCTTCTGGAAGAGAGGTATCATGCTGGTCCAGCAACAGTTTGGTCCCTTGGTGTCCTAATGTTCAGGTTGGTTTGCGGGTTCCTTCCCTTTGCCAAGGATGATGACATCATTGATGGGGCTCTGCACTTCAGAGATGGACTATCTGATGGTGAGATAAATGAGAGCATCCTGGTAAACGAGTGTGGAAATGACAATGATTCATAACTTTAACCTTGTAACTGAGGACAGAGGAACAAAGACTGAAAACAAAATCTGTATTTGGAAGTGAATGTGCAGAGTAACAGCTGGAGAATTTGCAGTTCAGGCCAGATGTCCCTAAATGTATATGTTTATAATAATGTATAATACTTTATATATTATATAGTGTAAATAAGTTAATAATAGTTTGAATGTTATAGCTGCATCCCATCCATCACATGGTGGTGCTTTTGAAATGTAGAAAAGAAGAAGAAAAAAGCAAAAAGATTTAGAGGTTAAGCATCTTTCTCCCACCCAATCCCGTCACTCTGTGCAGAATGCCGTAATCTAATTGGCTGGTGCCTGCAGCGTACCCCAACTAGGAGGCCTAATTTGCAGCAGATACAGCAGCATGACTGGTTACGAAACAACGTGCCAACCTAGGATCAGGTTAGCCAGGGAGGAGAGGAAGTAAACACAAACAGAAGAAGCAGTAAAGCTCAGATATTTAGTGTTTTTATAAAAAAAAACAAACAAATGAGATAATGTGATATGTTTACATGCAATAAATGAAAATGAAGAAGTGCTTCAGAAGTGTTTCTCTACACTTCTCTTATGCAGGTTTTTTGGTTTATGTTCCAGGTCATGACATTTTTAGAGGAGGGCAGTTAAGGGCACGTCATAGTTCAGACCACCACGTCCTTCAGAACGGAGGAGACTAACTGTCAGAAAATAAACACTGAAGTATTGCGGTTCTTTGCTATTGTGTTTTACTCACAAGACTTTGCTAACATCCAGTTATTTTTCTTCTTCTGCTATTATTATAAGCTCAAAATTCACCACTTTTTACAGCCCACATATGATTATGTGAACTGCTTAGCAACATCCAAGTAACCACCTAGCAACATCCAGCAACCAATTAGGATGATGTAGAAACCACCTGATAAAACCCTAGCAACTACCTGAAACACTCTAGCTATGTTCTAGGAACCACCTAATATACCATAGTAAACACCTAACAACCATATTGTTATGCTTTTGCAAGTAGCTGAAATACCATGGCAACCACATTGTATGACTAGTAAGCACCTGAAATATTATATCAACTGCTTGGCAACACCCTAACAACAACCTAACATACCAGTGCACTGTAGTGCAGTTTTTGGCATTGAGTTTTACACACAATACCTTGCTGATGTCTAGTTCCAAATACGATTCAGAGAAAAAAGTCACAAAAATTGCATAAATACGGAGCCCTGATGATGACATCCTGTATAAATAAAAATAATGCGTGGCCATGCCTTAGTAACACGTGGGAACGAGATCCTAACACGTGGCCACGACTTAGTAAGGCGTGGGAACGAGATCACGGCTTACTAAGTCATGGCCACGCATTATTTTTATTTATACAGGATGTAAATCAGGCAGTTGTTCAGTTTTAAAATGAAATAAAACGGGGGAACCTAATCATATGTGACAGGAGTGACATCACAGCCGTATGAAATTCAGCTATCACCGCGCCACCCACCTCTACACAGGAAACAGATGGCGCGGCTCGCCCGACAGGGGGCGCTGAGTGTCGGCTTGAGCGGCACAGAGCGGTCGGTTTCTCCTTGGACGGGAAATGGGTCAGAGGGAGAGGAGGAGAGCTGTTTGAATTTCTAAAAAGCACAGAAAGTACTGCTCACTCGCGACGAGAGGTGCCTAATAAACATCGCAGAAAGATTAACAGAAGAAGATGAAGCGCGATGTGCGGATCCTGCTGTTAGGGGAGCGTAAGTAGTTCCGGTAGCAATGATGAAAAAAACTAACGTTAGCAACTGTCAGAAACAGCCAGGCTGCTAATCTCACCAACTTCACTCACCTCATTTCTGAGAGGGTTGGTCACTGCGCGTCACACAGATAGCAGGTTTAAGTTGATGGTGTGTAGTAAACCCCTTTAGGGTGTTTTTTGTGACTATTTTCATGTTTCAGTGCTAAAATGCAGAACAATATTGATATTTTAGCATTACTGAAACATGAAAATACTCAGAGAAGCTCCTAGTCTGGCTAGTCTGGAACTGGGAGTCCAGAAGTGCGGAGAAGAAAACTGGCCGGGCAGCGATGATGTGTGTGATAGTATAACGTTATTTTTTTTATTATTATTTTCATTATTAAGTGGGATATGCACTGATATATCTCTGTCAGCATGTTGCTAGGAGTGTAAACTGCTGTGTCTGACCTTTGTTTTTATGGATGAACAGAGGAACCAAAACTGTCCTCCAGTAGGAACGGCTCTCCCTCTCTCTCTCTGAAGGCTCCATGGCTAACGTGACAGGAGCCCCACTTTGACTATAGGGGCTCAACAGTAGAGAAAAAGATGTTTACAGTTGGCTAAATCTCTAAATCTGAGTAGCGTTTGTATTTTTGTACAAAAAGTCAGTTAAAAAAAACATATATACTATAAATATTATATAAGTACGTTACAGGTTACATTTGATGTTAAATCCTGTCTGAATATTTTAATGGGTCTTTTAATGAACCTCAATGCTATTTTACATCTTAGGTTAGCTAAGGTTAGCTAACGTTACGACATCAACGAATGATTTCAGAGTAACGAACCTGATTGTGGTATTTTATGCTGTTTATCTTAACACGATGTATCTGAATTTCTTTCATTTTTTCCGACTGCAAAAGGTCGCTAAAAACGTTAATAGAAAGGATTACAAGGTGTTAGCTTAGCTAGTCAGTTAGCTTGGTTGCTGTCCCCCTCAGGAAGGTGAATATCTAGCTAACAAACTCTAAATACTGTTATTGTATTGCTAAGTATAAAACTGCACTTGTGACAGTTACGTTAACTGAACCAGCTCACTTGTTGAAGCAGTGTTTGCTAACTTAGCCACAAGCTACCAGGTCGTATCTGAGGCTAACCTTAGCTAAGCTAAGCTAACCGAAGTTGAGCATCTCTTATAGATTTGGTTTCGACTTTTCCTGATTTGTGTCACTCAGAAAGAAATTATTTCCAGAATATGGAATTTTAATTTAGTTATTGTCCATTATTAGACTGAAGGCAGTTTGTGTCCGTTGTTCTGACAGGCAGTAGCAGCATTAGCGTGCTAATTTGACCAGCTGGCAGAGCTGACATCAATGTGTGAACGGAGCGCAGTTATTCCTGCAGCGATTTGTGCTGCAAATGTAACCACTGATGTTACTTCTATGACGAAGCTTGTGCATCTTCTTAGACTGGTCAGTTTTTGGTTGACTCTTTCCCCCGTGGCTTTTTATAACTTATACATTATCACTTCTAATCAGGGCATCGATTCTAATCCAGTGTAAATCAGTGGGTCAGCTGTGCATCAATGGAGAAGGACCACCATTATCCACCATTTATGACTTATTATTATTTGGGTGGACTATCATAACAATAGCAGAACCCTTTTTGGTGCTATATAGAACCTTTTTCGAAAGTGCTCTGTATAGAACTATATGCAGCACATTCTCCATCAGTCTGAAGATTGATATGATTTCATCTTGCAAAGAACCCTTTCAGCATCCAAATCTTTAAGCGATCATTGTTCAGTATATAACCAATGTCTTTAGTAAAGAACATTTGAAGAACTGTCTTTTTTTAAGGGTGTGGTTCTTTGCATGGTGAATTGGTTCTTCATATTGATGGAGAATATGTTCTAGATGGTTCTATATAGAACCTTTTACAAATAGTTCTATGTAGCGCCAAAAAAGGGTGCTTTGATTGTTAAGATGTTAAGCTTGTAACAATAGAAGAAGCCCTTTTGATGATGTATAGAACCATTTTCTAAAAAAAACAAGTGAGTGTCTGTTTGAGTGTGTCTGAGTATATCTGACATGATGGTTTTGCTGAAACTTTTAAACACTGTGTACACTTACTGTATATTTTAGTAAACACACCTACCTTGTTGGTCCACCCTGTTGGTGTACAGTTAGAGACTGTAGCTTACAGTTATTTTCCACACATAATTTGTGTTGGTTGCCCTTCATCAAAGATCAGTTTCTGCCTGACCAGGATGTTTTTGGTTGCCGTACTATTATTAGCCCAGCAGTAATACTGAGGTGTTTAAATACCCCAGCAGCACTGCCATGTCAGTGTCACTGCTGTGCTGAGAATGATCCACCACCAAAATAATATCTGGTCTGTGTTGGTTTTATGGTGGTCTCGTTCCCTTTATGGGGGGGTTGTACGGAGGCAGATAAATTGTACAGCAACAGAGGGGCTACAGACACTAACTTTAAACCTACAAAGTGTGTCTTTGTGGTAGGTTTACCAAACACTATAGATCCATAACTCATCAAGCAAACATATTTTGATTGAATTGGATCTCACTTTACGGAGAAGAATTTATTGCGTCATATGCAAAACTGTTTCCTTACAAATCGTATCACTGCCAGATCTGAAGAGTTGCACAGCTAAATAAATAGCTTGGCTTACCGTTGTTGCATGTATGTATCTTGCAAGTGAAGGTTTGTCTCTTGAGCTGTCAAACAACAATCTTTGCTTGAATGTTTTTGCCTCAGTGCTGGTGCTGCATTTATGCACATGTTAGTGTACTCTCTGCCGGTGCTGAATGTAACCAAAAATCAGAAGACGTTTCGGAGGCATGCAAAAAATCATTAAAATTTGATGGAAGATTAAGGGAAAAAACAAGAATTTTGCCTTTTAAATGAAATAAGATTAATCATGCTTAATATGACCAGGCACAGAGACGTCTAATTTGATTTTCAATTTGACTTTAAATAAGCTGTTTTTGCATGTTATGCTGTCTCTTGTATTACTTTTTTTTTAATTAGCAATGGTAGTCAGAAAATTACAAATCCTAGAATAATTGATGAGGGTCAGTAAGCATTAGTTAGTGCATTTGATATTTAATTAGTAGCATAACAATATTTAATTTACAAAAAAAACATTCAGAGAAGCCAAAATCCTAAATGTGTTTAAAATTAGATATGTATGTAGATGTTATGTAGATGGTTGGGCTCTAGAATGGGTCAACGATTCAGTTTCTGTCCACATCATAACATCTGGCTCTGTTTGTGTATTTGCATGTGTGTTTGTGTGAGTGTCCTCTGTTACCGTTATTAATTTTAATCCCTGTGGAGGGTTTGGTGGGGATTTGTCTTCACCTGTTTAGGCAAGCTGACCTTAAGCAGAAGGTGAACATCTGCATCGGTCAGGACCTGCCTATCTGTGAGCCCAGTGTAGCAGCGCAAATTTTCTCTCCTGCTCTCTTGCTCGATTCTGTGTATGGTCTCATGTGCTCATTGCAGTATCAGGACACATTTGGCTTCATGTAGTTTTGCAAGCCAGGCTTCTCACAGTTACAGAAAGTTTGGTAGGTTTTGTCAGTCAGTGTGGCCGAGAACCACCTGCTTTAACAGGAAGCAGGGTTTGACTTAATCAGAGACATTATAAAGGAGGAGACAGTTCACTGATTGAAATACGAATAGGAAAGGTTGTAACGCACAACATGGCGTCTGTTTACAGGGAACACCTGCCCTTCAGAAAAAAATTGACATCCAGCCGCAAATGAGAAGAGCTTCCCCTCGTTTTGAGAGAACAAGCAGAAAAGTTGTGCGTTACTTGAGCCAAAACTATTAGCTACAAGCTGTTTTGTCAGATTTCGCCAGTGATTTTAAATGTGTTTTTGAAATGTTAATGAGACTCCGTTTCATAGGTCTTTCCTCATTCAAAGAGACAGGAACCCGGTCTTGTGTGACTGGAAATAACTGGCCAGGGATGTTGTCAAGTGGATAGACCTTCCTATAAGGACTTTGCTTACATGCAGATCAACCAATATTAAACTGATGTATTTTTTTCGTGAGCTGTATTAGCAGGCAAGTTTCAAAATTATGCTACAAGAAAAACACACAGGCAAAAAACATAGTGGTATGACTGCTACCAGTGTCTCCTTAATGCACCAAATAAAACAAAATAATATATATTTTTTTCATTTTAATAAAACAATTTTTTTTAATGCTGTGACAACATCTTGCTCTAAAAGGCTAATTATTGTCACCATAAAGTCATAGCCAGAGTATAGCTTGCTTAGCATTTGTTTTCATACACAGAAGGGCGTGCACACGGATTTGCAGACATCCATTCAGAATGCAACTGATAAAACTCAGTAGTTGTGGCCAGCTTAGCGTATGTGCTTGTGTGCAGAACAGCTGAGGTTGACTATAGACTTCATGTAGCATTCACATCCAGTTTTGTTGAGTGGACTTGCTCATCTAGCACAAGCTAACGTGGTCATGTAACAGTTGTGCTTGTAAGCTGACTGATCCCAGTCCAGTTTTAATCTAATTTCCCTCCACTTGGCCTGTTACCCCGTTTATATTTGTACATTAAAAGAATAATTTGCTGAAAAATCTGTTCTTTTTTCTCTACTTTAAATACAATTGATCAGCCAAGACGTGTTTGGTGTCCAAACACTACATGACGTACTAAAATGTGAAAATGAAGAAAAGCAAGTTGCATAGCTAAAAACAGTAGCAGCAGTCCTGAAGCCTGAATTTTGCCTGTACTTTGGTCCATTTTTATAGTGTTGTACAGTGTCAAACCATATAAGTAAGTCTGTTTGACAGCAACTGTACAGGTGAATTTGTGATGATTTAGCACAGTGTTAATTGGTGGAATATAAGCTTACATTAATTGTTAGCTACACTAGCGTCATAGCTCCAGTGCAAAACCAAAGAAACAAACAGCTAAACATGCACCATATGTCCAAAAGTATCCAGACACCCTTTTTAATTAGTAGTTCACTTACTGCTGACACAGATGTTTAGTCACGCACGCAGTTTGTATAATCTCCACAGAAAAGAATTACGAGCAGAATAGGATGCTCTGTAGCAGCTGCACATGATCTAAGCTCATCATGCCCAGTGCCAAGTGTCAGCTAGAGGGATATAAAGTGCCCTGCAATGGGCTGTGGAGCAGTGGAATTGCGTTCTCTGGAGTGATAGACCTCCATCTAATACGTTTAGGATGAGCTGGAGTGTCATTTGTGATCCAAAACAATCGTCCAACATCTGTACCCGACCTTACTAATGCTCTTGTGGCTAAATGCCATCAAAACCTTGCAGAAAGGTTTCAACATTCAGAAGAGCAGAGGCTGCTACAAAGTTGGACAGACTTTTTGTGGCTTTTATTTCAGAAGAAATGCTGGACGAGCAGGTGTCAACAAAACTTTAGACATATAGTGTAACTTAGTTGATCAACTGTTGCTTCCTCAATTTTTCATGCCATCTTTTTCTCTTCAGCCAAGGTGGGGAAGACCTCTCTCATTATGTCCTTGGTAGGAGAGGAGTTTCCTGAGGCGGTGAGCTCTCGTTCAGTGCATTTGCTTATGCTTGTATGTTTTCTCTTGGAATGGTAAGATATGATTGCGTGAATGAGAACAGTCTCACTGTCACTTCGGTAGGTTCCCTTGCGGGCTGAGGAGATCACCATACCTGCAGATGTCACACCTGAGAAAGTGCCCACTCATATAGTGGACTACTCTGGTAAGTGTGTGTTTCAGTGGTGTATGTGTACAGTTATTTAGAGTTAGTTCAGGTGTGAGTGTGTAGAAATTAGTGATGCACTAATTTGCACAGGATATTCTTGGCAGAAACCAAAACTGAAATTCAGAGCACACACTAATGAAAACCCCTAAATGCTGTAAGTAAATAAAAAATATTTCCATAGAATAAGCTTACCAAAATGAGTACAGTGTGTTGTTTACAGTATATGCCACGAAGTCCAGCGTCCCCGAAGACGTTTCTTTCTGCTACTGTTTTTGTTGTGTTCTCTGTATTGAATGGGAGGTTGTGTTTTTTCTTATTTTTTTGTGGGGGGGGGGATTTAATTTTTCCCAGAATTTAGTTGTATCCAATTCCACCCAGTAGTTATGACTCCCCCAATCACACTATCACCAGCGCTAGGGGGCAAAGGTAAACACTAGCTTCCTCCGAGTCATGTGAAGCCGAACATGCTTTTAGGAGAACAAAAACTGCCGGTTCTGTTACTTCAAATAACAGATGCCTGTGCTGACTGATGTGGGGAGAGAGAGGCAAATTTTTAAAGGGGGATACAACAATCAAGAACTTCTTCACTACAGGTTTGTTACCATTTAAAAACACAACCTCCCAGTTGTGCTCTCTTGGGCTCCTGGCCACAGACGGCTGTAGCATCAGAGAGCCTGGGGATGTTGTATTTTCAAGTGGTATCAAACCCGTAGTGAATAAGTTCTTAGGTGTTGTATTCCCTTTTAACACTCTGCATAAACAGAGATTATAAATGACTTATCCAATGTTCATTGTGAAACAGTCCCATGTGGCTGATTTCCTCGTTGTGCTTCTGCTCGAGCTCTTTAAACTATCTGTACTGACCGGCGCAGAAGAGTGAAAGGAAACAGCAAACAGCAAATCATTATTTCTCATTTTCACCACGCTTTAATGTAACTTTTGACTTATCTTCATTGTAGGTGTGTTTACTCTCTTTCCTGTTATGTTTAATCAAAATATTCAATGTTCTTTGTGTTATTTCAATTGGTTTTGTGTTTTTTTTTTTTTGCTCTTATTTGAAAAGACTTTTTGAAAATATAAATCTTCTAAAATTGCTTGGAATAAAATCTCTGTACCTAAACTTGCATCAAAAGTTAAGAATGTTTTCTTAAGCATACAATACTTTTGACAGCGACGATACTGGTGTATAAGTATGTGTAAGTATGTATGGGCAGTGTAGAAACATTACAATCTGTCATTACTTTTGTCTGCAGAGACTGAGCAATCAGAAGAAGTGCTGAGAGAAGAGATTGTTAAGGTAAGAATTAGCTGCCGTAGTGTTGGCAATACTTGCTGTTTCTAGTAGCATCAACTCGAATAAAAGAGTGAATGTCAGTATTGCATTAGGATTTTAAGATATGTTATTAATGACAAACTAAAACTTCAGCTCTTGAATTCCACGTTCTCTTGGTCTGTATAGATCTAAGACAGTTTTGCTAAGGCGCCCCTTTGTGTGTTATTTTTTAAATTTGTGACCATGAGTCTGTGAGTAAAGACAGAACTTGATCTTTTTAGAGAGATGTGCTGTCTGTATTTTAATGAAGAAGTTCAAAATGTGAAACGTGCTCTTACTTCAGGTGTATTTGTTCGACTGCACTTCAACATGTTGACTTTTATCTTGTGATGACCCTGGTTAATATGTTTGTCTGAAATCGTTATGTATTATTATTATTGTTATTATTATTATTATTATTATTATTATTTTCTAGAACAGTTGTTATTAATTAGATCACTTGCTATAGTATATACAATTTTGTAACTAAACTTTAATTAAATAGCCATTATCTTTTCATTGACGTTACAAATTGACATTGAAAAATTTAAACCTTACTGTGTACTGAACTCTTGTGTTACAGTAGTCAATGCTGATATCATGTGCCCTCTAGGCTAACGTTGTATGTGTGGTGTATGACGTAACGCAGGAGGAAACCATCGACAAGGTACACCCTCCCCAGCACCCCTGAATCCATTCCATTAGTTCCACCATGTATCTCTGGCTCATGTTTTAAGTGTTGTTATTTCTTTAGATCAGAACTAAATGGATTCCTCTTGTGAACGGTGGAGCTGAAAAAGGCAGCAAGTACGTTGCAATCACTGTCTCTCCTTCAGACCTTCATGTAATGCTGGGCAGTACTGATAAAATTCAATCAGTCACTATTCCAATCAACTTTTTCCCAAATACATAATTCTGATTTAAATGTAACTTGTCCTCCCTGAGTACTGCTACTCTGCTAAAAGAATTGCAAACCTGACACACCTTGTTTAGATTAGACTATTTTGTTCTGTAATAATATTTATATGTATTATTTATATGTATTATTTATATGTATTATTTAGGGCTGCACGGTAAACCATGTTTTGAGCATTCTCGCAATAATAGTTTCCGTGTTAAGTGTTTCATTAAGGGTTGTGATGACAGAGCAGATGTAAATACCTCATGGAGTGCCAGAGTGATGTAATTAGATTGATGTAGAGCCATAAGCAACAAGCGCTTCCCTTAGCTGGGCTTGTGTTGTCCCATATAGAGGGCGAGTATCTTAACCATTCAGCTACATTGTCTGTAAAGCATACGTGCACTGCTCAAAAAACACTCTATCCGGAACTATTAGCCTGTAAAAATGCTTCAAACATGATGATTATTCTCAGTTGCTTGTAAAATATGTGACGCATACATGGCTACTGTTAGAACAAATCTGCATCACCGTGAGGAACATTTATAAGGTATTGAGTACATATATATTTATTTTTGTAGCCTTTTATACAAAAAGCTGTTCAGGGAATGCTGACTGTTTTTCAGCCTTACAGTGCACATAATGTTTTGTAATATTGCAGTTGCTGATTAAGCTGTTAGTATTTTATTACTTTTATTTAGCTTATTAATGCATTAATTTTTAATAATCTTAGACTTTTTGGTATTTGCTTAAAAGAAAGGTTAGTAAGTTTTTAAAAAAATGTCTGTACTTGTGGCTCATCCAATCAGATTTTAATCATAATTTCTTGCTCTCATCTTCATGATATCCAGTAGTTTTAATGTTGCATGTTATGTCGTATAAATTAAAACCATCATTATTAAAAGTTAAACCAGTTTTCCAGAAAAGAAACTCGCTGTTTGTCTGGCTTTTATGTCTTTTGGACTGTTCTTTGTCTCGCTCTCCAGAAATTACATACATTGCAGTTAAAAACTATCAATATCGCAGTTCTTAAAAATCACTTTTGTTCTTCAGCCCCAGTATCGGTATGTCAGTATAAATGATATCACTTAGCATCTAGCATAGTTCTAAATTTATCATTGGAAATGTTTGTTGATTCATTGTTCTCTTGTTGCTGCAGGATTCCCATCATACTTGTCGGCAACAAGTCTGATCTGCGGTCTGGCAGCTCCATGGAAACCATTCTGCCAATCATGAACCAGTTCTCTGAGATCGAGACCTGTGTGGAGGTTAGGACAGCTGGCCATACATGCACAAGTCTGATCTGTGTTTTATGTAGCAATGCTTTAGTGATATCCTGCCATAAGTGTTCATAAAAACACCATCTATTCTTTAACACTGCTGAAATCCTCATTAACAATAATAGTCTGGATTTTTTTTGTTTAATATACACATTTTTTATTCACTGTAAAATGGTTTCAACTTCAAAAACACTTTAAATCGACTTCTGCCCTGTTCCACTTTTACAGTGTTGTTTACATGATCAGTCAAAGAGTAATAAACTAATTATAATATAAAAAAAAACTACAGAACAAATAACTGATTGACAATGTATTCCTGTTGTAAGAACACTAGTGTTTCATGTTTTTGTAGCTGAACTGAAAAAATCAGCCCAGCAGTTCATATTTCTGCAGAGAGTAGTTTAAAGTGTTTTGAAAAGGTGAACTTGGCACTGGAAAATGCTTCTTAGTGATTGGTGAAGAAAAAAAAACCTCAAACAAAAACTGTAATATTCTTGTACTAATGATACATTTGTTCCTAAATAGAAATGGAAGTGACTGATGCTTTTCTTTCTGTTTGAATGTGTGTGTGTTGGTCTTTGTTTCTGCTTTTGTCAGCTTAATATGTGTCAAATAGCATAACCTTTCTGAATATTATATTGGGTGTGTGGATTTATTTCTGCAGTGCTCTGCGAAGAATCTGAAAAATATTTCCGAGCTGTTCTACTACGCTCAGAAAGCTGTTCTCCACCCTACTGCACCACTGTACGATCCTGAGGACAAACAGGTAAACACACACCCCTTTGTAGCTGGAATTTCCTAAATACCAGGCTGCTCCTTTGGAGGAAGTGTGGGCGTTGAGGTGTGGCCCTGAAATTAAAGTGTCATGCTCAGCTTTGGGGATTTGAGGACTACTTTTGATAACCAAGAGGTTGAGACAGAGTTATTCAGAGTGTGCAGAGATTCAGTCAGATAGTCTTTCAATGTGCATTCAAAGTGTATTCAAAAGAAAATTAATATGATTGTGTTTTGTCCATTTAAGTATAACCCTTAGAAGTCTAGAGTTATTACTGTCATTTTTGCTGTACTATTTAATTACATAACTACTTAATTATTTTAATTTGCATTCTTTATTAACAGGTTTGAACATGCACATCCAACATTTGTCTGTTTGTTAGGGCAAGGGATGTCAAAAATAGACAGAAATATAACAAAATGTAATTATATTTTTTCTTTGCATAAAAATCAATACTGCATCCACAATAGCTTTTTAAGTTCACATTGCAAATGTAAACTGTATCATCTCTTTTTAGTTTTAGAATAGCAGCTTCATTCTAGATGGAAAAAAAAACATCTGTGTTTAGTGTTCTGTTTTGTTGTGTTATTGTTTTATTGTCTTATTGTTTTATAGGGCATCACAGGGTTTTATTTGTCATACAAGTTTATTTATTAATCAGATGCCCCTTACATTATGAGTAAATTTCATGATTAAAGAACCAAAAGAAATGGCCCAAAATTAATTGGAACAAAGTCTGTTTGCAGTGACTTACATTAAAGGTGTTCTCCTGTAAAGTTACCATTTTGGAGATACAACGTTTTTTCCGACAGAAGCAATAAGTAAAACTTTAAACAAATAAAATATCATGATCTAAATTGAGTAGCAGCACAATTACAAACAAAGGAGGAAAAAGAGCCACAGTGCTAAAGTCTCCTTTTAATCTGGATTTAAACACACATCAAGTATACATTCCTATTTCCATATTCTCTGGAATGCTATTTTTAATGTACTGCCAAACCCCCTATTAACTTGCTAGTGTACACCATCTAATGGGTGAATTTGTCTCTTAATTTGTGATAAATAATGTTTGTATTGCAGCTGAAGCCACAGTGTGTCCGTGCCCTCAGTCGGATCTTTAGCATATCTGATCAAGACAACGATCGAATTCTCAGCGATGCTGAGCTCAACAACTTTCAGGTAAGAGCATTCGAGTGTGTGTTTGTGTGCACCTTTCTTTCACGAACAGTATAGATTTTCCCAAGAAAATGAAATGAAGCATCAGTAAACATTTTCACATTGTTATTTGGATATCAGATTTGGCCAGTTACTCAGATTTAACTTGACTCTTGTGTAAGAAGGTCATTAACGTGTGTGTGTGTTTGTTTTGGTAGAAATCCTGTTTTGGGAATCCATTAGCCCCTCAGGCTCTGGAGGATGTGAAAACGGTCGTGTGGAAAAACACCAGCGATGGGGTGCAGGACAACGGACTGACGCTGAATGGTAACACATGTTCACATTAAGTGAAAGTTAATGCAGAATCAGGCTCACAGAGAACAATGATGGACTAACTGAGTGACAGTGTAAAGCTTTACATAAATTAAAAGGGAAAGGTGGAGGTTCAGACTTTGTCAGTAACAAGATCATTCTCACAGCACTTCTCTTGCCTTTGAATGAAAGCAAAGTTTTATGCTGACACTCTTCTGTTGCACGTGTGTATGTATGTTTTCCCCCCAGGTTTCCTGTTTTTGAACACACTTTTTATTCAAAGAGGACGTCACGAGACCACATGGACCATCCTGCGCAAGTTCGGCTATGACGACACACTCGAGCTCACAGATGACTACCTCTATCCACAGTGAGTTTGGCTTCACCCTTGTGTTAAAGGAAAAGTTTATATTTGCACAGTTTCCCCCTTAACACTAGGCCTGTCACAATTATTACGTAAGTGTCTGATAGTGATTATCATTCACAGTTTATAGCTTTCATTATTTTTTGCTTATGTCATAACAAAGTAAATTGGATGTATTTTCATCTGTTTGCCCGAGACATGCATGTAAATAAAGTAAAAAGGAAAAAAAAACGCATTGAGCCGTGTTATTGGTCTTAAGAACACAAGTTCTAGCTTTTGACTGCGATAACACCTTAAGAGGGTGGCAATGAGTAATGTTTGTTCATTTGCACACAAGGTGTGTTGAACGAGAGCAGGGAACGAATTAGAGAAACTTCCTATCTTTAGTCCTAAGTTAAGATCTGACAAGTTCAGAATAAGATTGCTTGCAAGTTCATATTACAGAAGCAAATCCTAATTTCAGAACTATATCTTACAGCATCATATCTCAATTTCAGAAACACTAAACTACTCTATTGAAGTTGATAAATTATGTCTGTTACAAAGCAGTCGACAATATGTGCACATGTAAATGTAAACACAATCAAAAAATAGAAACAAAGATGCAAGTTGGTTGTGAAATGTGCAAGTAAACCTAAAATGTTATGAACTGGATGTTTGAAAAAAAATTACAAATGTTGTGGCTGGACCTCCCCCTGCTGTTTAACAGAGTGTTGCTGCTCCCAGTTTCAGTTTCCATTTCATAAAGCTTTAGCTGGTGTGTAAGCTGCTCTAAATCCTCCTAATAATGTCACTTCATATTTCTCATTATTCACTGCCGTTGCTGCAGTATCTTTATTTTTCAAGATTGGCAAAATTAACATATGGGATGTTGACAGGGAATGGGGGAAAGCCTGTCTGCAGTGTCTGGGATTTTTCTAAACTGCAGTCTCACTAGTGAGGCTGCCATTTTGCAACATGAATAAATGTCACACCATTATGCTTGTTATAGTGAACTTGTTAGACTACCCATCACAGTTGCCTAAAATAATAACATTCTCTTTTCGATAAGATGATGAACTATAGAAACAGAAGTTAGGACACTGTTGGGGTTATTCCATAGTTAGGACAATTTTGTTGTCCTAGTGACTAAACAGATAAGATTATGAGTTGAGATGTTTCTATAATATGGCCCTAGAGTCCTATCTCTGAAATCTCTGGTAAAATCTGACAAAAAAAATCACACAGTTTGTGTAACGTTTGGCTCAAATAACAGAAAATTTTCAGGTTGTTCTGGCTAGCGCATATCTCCTCAACGAGAAGCGGCTTTTCCTGCTTGCGGCTGTACTAGCAAGCCGATTGCCTCTTTTTACTGAAGAGTGTGACTTTCCTCGTGAACTGACGCCATGTTGGTTGTTAAGAACTATCACATAATTTTTCAATGAGTGAACGTTCTCCTCTTATAATGTCTCTGTGTCTCCTCAGTTTGGAGCTATTGACAGTAAACAGCTAGGAAACACGATAGCTAATCAGCCAGTTTAGTCACTTCAGGCTTATACTGCTGCGTACAAAGAACAATAAAATACATTTAAATTGGTAGTCACAGTTATTTATATGGCAATTAATTGTCAGCTAATATTTATTTTAATGATAAGTAATAACACAGAGCTAGTTGATCAAGACAAGTTTAATGTCTGAAGTCTGCTTTTTTTAGTTTTCACTACATCTGTGAAGCTAATGGATTTAAGAAGTAATGGTAGTTTATTCCCTCCAGTTAGCATTGTGCAAACTGCATGCTTAAATCATTGCACAGGTGCCTCAAACCACGTTGAGTTGTTCTCAAATAGACCTGCTTTTGTGGTTTCTGATACAAAGATCCTTCAAGGTGTTACTGCTTACTTCTTTGAGTTACTTTAAAAGTTAAGCTGACAATTCGATTTTTCTAACAAGCTGTACTCCCAAAGCACTATTTTAGGTTATTGTGTCTTAACCTTGCTCTGCATAATTTCAACTGTTCTCTCCTCCAACATACCCATTGCTGCTCAGCTACTTATTATAAAGTCCTACACAAGTTGCACAAGTTGTATCAGGTGTTTTGAAGTAGGGAGGGAATAGGGAACTGTGCTGAATGGTTGGTTCCTGTAAGCAGGATTAAGAAACTCTCATTTAGGCATTTCATTTCATGTGTATGTGCATATGCTCACGTCTCCTCAGGTTACGAGTACCTGTCGGTTGTACGACAGAGCTGAATCATCTCGGTTATCAGTTCCTCCAGAGGCTCTTTGAAAAGTACGATGAGGTAATCATATTTAAACAGCCAAGCCCTTTGTCCTTGTGACCCTGTTTCATGGCGCCCTCTTGTGCTTAGGAGAGGTAACCGTAATGTCTGTGATAACTCTTTCTGTTTTAGGACAAGGACTCTGCTCTCTCTCCAGCAGAGCTGCGGAACCTGTTTAGCGTATTTCCCTACATGCCCTGGAGCGAGTCTGTGTACAGCAGTGTCCACACCACGGAGGAGAATTACATCTCTCAACATGGCTACCTCTGCCAGTGGACGTAAGCAAACCCATAGCGGGGAAAGAGCTTAGAGAGCAAATGACTCTGTAGTGCAATCACAACCATTCGCACATTCGTTATGTTTGCAATCACTATGAGATTACTACAGTTGGTAATATGTGATCACTAACATTTTATTGGCCAATGTGCAGGTTGTCAGCGTACTTGGACGTCCATCGGTGTCTGGAGTACCTGGGTTACCTTGGTTATCCCATTCTCATGGAGCAGGATTCTCAGACGTCTGCGGTCACAGGTATGCACACGCACAGAGAAACGCTTGCATGCTCACATGCAAAGCTAACAGCTCTTTGCATGTTTGTAGTTTCACTTGGCTGGACTGACTCAATTCGTAAGCTTGTGTCAGGTAGTGCATTGCAGAGAGCTTTCATTTACCGTAGTGCATAGATCTTTCAAAATGTCCTCATAATTCAGTCATAAATAGAGTTATTCAGAGTGGTTTGATGTGAAATGGTTCATTGTAGAGAAACTTATTGTTTGGATGGGAAACCAGGGGGCACAAAGTCTACCACACAAAGTGAACCTGCACGTGTCTGTTTAGTTTTTAAATGTAACGTTGATGTTGGTATAATAATGGTAAATTTAAAAAATATATTCTCAAGCATCAAGTAACTTAGTAGTATTTTTCTGTTTGGTAGCTTCTACTGGTAGTAAACGCTTCAGACTTCTGGTTCTTATCACCACCATTATGAACAGTTCTGACTTGGTAAGTTTCTCTACAGTGGCACATTTCTCATCAAACCACTCTGTAGGACTTTGTTTATGTCTGAACAGTTTATTTATGCAGAAATAATCATTTACTCCCCTTGAATGAGTCTTATAAAGGTTAAAATAATTTAAGTGCTTTACTGTTTTACTTTGTAACTCCTTAATCTGAAGAGATGATTTTCTTTCTCGCTCTCGCGCTCTCTCTCTCTCACGCTCTCTCTCTCGCGCGCTCTCTCTCTCTCTCTTTCTTTCTCTCTTTCTCTCTCTCTCAGTAACCAGAGAAAAAGTGTTAGATTTGGAAAAGGGGCAGACACAGCGTTCTGTGTTTCTTTGCAAAGTGATTGGTCCACGTGGGACAGGAAAGACCGCTTTCCTGCAAGCTTTCCTGGGCCGGAGTCTTGTGGTGAGAGACAAGCCTTACATTATACTAACTTTAATACTAACATTAATACTAACTGTGCTATGACCTTTGAAGACACCTTTCAATTCTTCTAAATACAGTTACACCGTAATAAAAAGGTTATATGAAAAAACATAGTTATATATTAAAGGACATATATTAGAGTTATATTTTATTGTCTTCTTGATGAATTGCTCATCAAATTCATCCGGTTGGGGGTGATAAGAAGTACGTTTGTTTTTCAGAGTGACGAGCGTAATCCCAGTGCCTTCTCTCTCTACACCATAAACACGGTCACTGTTGCCAACCAGGAGAAATACCTAATCGTAAGTGAACCACATTTTTATAGAAGTTATCACACATGCCTTGACACTGCTTAAGATCTGCATACGTTTTAGCCACCTTTCTAATTGAAATGACAAACGAGCTCAAAGAAATAAAGCTACTTCCAAGCATGCAGTGCATGAACTTCAGCGCTGCTAGAGGCTTGCTCTGTGCAGTAACGCAGGCAAGTGTGTGACCAGTGCAGGGTGGTCTCAGAACAAACATTGTGCTTATTTGGAGTTCTGTTTAGCACCCCACCCCACCAAACAAACTCAAACCATACATACATACATACATACATACATACATCATCTAAACCGCTTATCCTTCTGGGTTGCGGTGGGGTGCTGGAGCCTATCCCAGCTGTCATTGGGCGGAAGGCAGGATACACCCTGGACAGGTCGCCAGTCCATCACAGGGCATCGCAATCTCAAACCACTGTGTCAATTTGGTTTGCCTCAAAACATTGTCTTTTGAAGTATACTGCTGGCTTTAGAAGTGACAGGGATGAGGAGGACTGCTTTAGAGGACCATGAAAGGTATCTCTTTCAATTCAGTTTTATTTTGTACAGTGCTGTTTACAACAACAACTTTCCAAAGTTTTTCCACATTACTAGACAGACTGACATAAAGGGGAATTCCACCAATTGTTTTAATTGTTAAGATGTAAAGAAAGTCATTCAGAGTGGTTTAATGTGAATTGTGCTGACTAGAGAAACTTATCAAGTCAGAATTGTTCACAGTGGAACCAGACATCCAAGTGTTTAATGCCTCACTGAAAAGTTATGGCACGAAAGAGTTATGAATACGCTGCCTGATATCCGAGACATTGTTTTACGAAAGTTTTCAAGATAAGGTTTTGGCATAAGACTTGTGTGGATAAGACTAGGATATTGTAAAGCAAAATAATTCCCAAAGAAAAAATACCCCCCCTTTATATCTACTGCTATTTTATTATTGTTAACATTATATATAAAAGCTCAGAAGACATGTAGGTTTACTGGTTGTTTTAGATAGCAAATAAAATGGCTCTTTTTGTGTTGTAGACTTTGCAACTACTGGTTCCAGTTACCACCACTATAAAGAAAATCAGTTCATAGGTTTCTCTTTAATTAACCGTTTTATGTAACACCACTCTGAATGACCTTTTTTTGTCACAATGACTTAATTATGCAGAAACTGTGGGAAAATGTGTTGAATTCCCCTTAAATTGCTGACTCTGAACATTTACCCCCAGCTCTTCTAAACTGCTCAGTTTTTAAGAACTGTTGAGGAAGACTTGTTCAGAAGAACAATTCTAAAGCAAATGCCTAGTCTTAATGTTTAACTATATATGTTTCTACTTGCTTGTGCTTCCAAACACCCTGAAGAGAAGACTGTGTGGATGCAGGGGATGATGTAATGGATAAGACATAGGGGATTTGTTAATGTAATTGAATGATTGAGGGTGGGGGTTATGCATCTTCTGTGGAATTACAGATGTTTAGGATTCTAGATGTGTCTGTATGCAGTTAACTTAAATATACAATATGATATTCTTGCATTCACCCTCCTGAAATTCACTTGAACTCACCACTTTAGGTTGGCAGCGATCAGCCGTCTGTATTAGACTAAAGCACATTTCACGCTATACACGATAACCGCACTGTGTGATGTGCAGCACTGTGCCGCACCCAATACACTCCTATAGTAATCAGTGTAGCCTTTCATACTGGCGCTAATGCGCATGTGATGCACAAAAATACGCTTTGGGGTTATTGCTGACGTGTGCTGCACACGGCATGCTAGCAATTTCTATGCAAAGACAGTGAAGAAATGCAGTTTTTATGCTATAATATACAAGCTAGTCTAATAAACAAATCAACCAAAGTAATTCAACTCTTTGACAAGGTGATGGAATCCCTTCTATCGGTTACATGCCCACATGCATCTCCCCCTCTTCGTATAGCTGTACATCGCATGGTGAGAAGGCTAGCAGCAGACACGGCAGCAAGTCAGGTTTTTTATTGTTGATGTCATAATGTTAACTACACAAACTTTATTTAAGCGATAAACGGACAGCACAGACGTTTGTATTGTGTTAAAATGGAACGCAAACAGAATCTGCTTTTGCGGTTCTGGATTACCTCATCTGCTGTGAAATAGGCTTAAGATTCTATGGATCAGTTTCCCAGACAGGGATCAAGCCTAGTCTTGAACTACATGGAGAATTTCCATTCAGAATGCTGTGTTGTCCTAGTTTAAGCTTAAACTCTGTCCAGGAAACCAACCCTATATCTGTCTGTGCCATAAACCTGACAGGCTACTGTGTCACTTCCTGTCTGATGTTCATGTTGTTTGCTGCAGCTGGAGGAAGTTGATGTGGAAACAGAGTTCCTGAAGACAGCAGATGCAGCATGTGATGTTGCCTGTCTGATGTATGATGTCAGTGACCCAGACTCATTCAACTACTGTGCTAGTATATACAAGGTATACCTACACAACCTGCCCTTGCACGCACACATGTTGTTCAGGTTGGGGTGTTTTAGTGTCTGTTGGACAGATCCATACATTTCTACCTATACCTACACCATTGCAGTTAAAATATTCAATGACCGCTTTACTAGAAAGACCTACCTTGTAGCTCCACCCTTCTGGTGTACGCTCATCTGTTGATGCACATGTTGTTAGCCATCCTCTAGCTCAGTGGTTACTAACCCTCCTCCTGGAGATCTGCTTTTCTGCAGAGTTTACTTTCAACCTGCCTCTGACATGTTGACCCCGTTACCTACCAATGCATCTGATTCAGCCAGTCAAGGATTTCTAAAGCGGATGATGAGCTGAAGCATAACTTAACTAAACTCTGCAGGAAGGTAGATCTCCAGGAACAGGTTTGGTTACTGCTGCTCTAGCCCTTCATCAGTGGTCAGTTTCTGACCACAGAACCACTATTGGCTGTATATTTTTTAAGCTGATGCAAAGCATATAGTAGAGGTCTCGTGACCTCTACTATATTACTTTATTCCAATATGTTAAACTCTGCAAATAATAAAAAATTTTGCCCTGAAATGTGCAAAAATGCCATATTTAGATGACATGTTGACTTGTTTTCATGTAGAAAACCAACAAACCGTAATTTGCCCAGGGGTTGTTCAAGCTTTTGCATGCAATAGTGTAAAATAAGCTTTTTATTATACAGTAAATTGTAAACCACACACAGCTGAGGTGACATATATACATATTAAGCCATACATAACTGATGTTTATAAGCAAACAGAATTCACTAGTTTGTGCTAGTAAGTGCTCCATTAACTAATTCGTCAAAGCTGTTTTGATTTCTCCCTGTCTGTGTCCCTGCAGCAGCACTACATGGACCGTGGGGTGCCATGTGTGGTTGTGGGCTCCAAGGTGGACCTGCCAGAGGTGAAGCAGCATCACGGCATGAGCCCTGCCGAATTCTGCTACAAACACAGGCTCCCTGCTCCACTGCGCTTCTCCACACTGCACACAAACTGCAACACGCACATCTACACCAAGCTCTCCTGGGCAGCCATGTACCCGTACGTCTTTTCCGCGCACACACACACTCACACATTGAGAGGGATAGGGCTTACATTGATTCTGAAAAATAAACACATTTTTAAAAGTATCACTCTGCCTCATTCCCCTTTAGCGTAATAAACTTGCCAAAAATGTCCCTGAGATAGAGAAAAGTAAGCTGTATGACTGTAAAGTTTCAATTACTAATGCCATGTCATATACGTATGTCAAATGTGTAGTTAGTTCTCTCAAGCTATGAACAAGTGAGTCCATAGTTCGTTTACATTCTGTTTTTGTTTTGACGGTTCGAGTGTAGTCCTGAAGTTTTTGCGATGCATACTTAATTTAGTAGCCTTTAAATGCAGCATTGCTAGATTGGAGCTATTTTTATTTCATGTATTGTAAATAAACTGTCCTGTTGATCAGTTTTTGAGTCAAAATTGTCTCACAATGTAATAATAAAAATCAATAATGAAACTGTGGTTTAATCGCAATAATGCATTGTCATGCTGTACAATGAGATATTGGCATTGGTGTGCCGATCTATGATGCATATGCATTAATAAATGTATATGAATTATTAAACAACTACTTAGTGACAGTAAGAAGTTCGATGCTTATAAGGGTAAAAAACTACCTGAAATACTAAGCATTTACTTGCATACAAACATTGTAAAAAATAGATTAACTACTTAGTAATTGTAATTTTAAATGATTAAGTAGTTATCCTGCTGCTTTATGAAACATAAATGACTGATTAATTCTATAATTCAAAAATAATAATTCATTTTTTGTATGTCACAAAGTAAATGTTTAATAATTCAGATGTATTTTATTAACATATAGGTAACAATTATGTAAATTATTAAAAATCATTAACAAACTATTTGAATAATATTTAAGTTGCTAATTATTAGGGCCTGCTATTATAATGTTACCAAAGCAAGATATAGATAATATGTTTTAAAATATATTTCAGCGTATGTTTATCTGCTATGATAAGAATGAGAGAGAAATTCAAATCAGGACTTAGGCTTTTGACAAACATTTGGGGATTCTGTACTTAAATGTTTAGATGTACGCCATAGATTCTGTTCTATTTGGAAGGTTCTCACTTCAATTTATAATTTTATGTTTCCTGCTTTGTGTGTCGTCACTTGTTTGTAGGCACCTGAATGGCTCGGACATGAGCAGCACTTCCTTCTGGCTGCGTGTGACGCTTGGAGCTGCAATAGCCACCGTGCTGGGCTTCGCCTTCTACAGAGCCTTCTTCAGACACAAATAACACACACACTCCAACAACATTCTTTGATCATCTCATTCTCTTCAGTTGCTGTTTTACTCCTCTTTTTCTCTCTCTGTCTCACACATATGTAAATTCACATTGTCTGCCTTACCATGTCAATTACGGACAGCATCACCAGGAGACTTTGAGGTAAGCCTCAGCATGGAGCCCCAGTCTCCATGGCCACGGTCACCAGGACTTTGGGCAGCTGTATACGTTCCAGTGGTACAAGTCCCCTCATACATACACAGCGGCAGCTGTGAACTTTATGCTGGAGAAGAAAGCTAGAAGCTTTGTTAACCAATCTTATTGTCACCATTCATGGTTGACCTTTGACTTGTGTGATATTTTTGCCAAATTGATTTACAGTTTAACTGAAACCCACACATACCTAAACAGTGTCAATGAGAGACAGTGAGAGAGAGACAGAAATAGATAGGGCTTGTGTGTATGAGAGAGAGTGTGAGTGAGGGATTGAATTGCACCCTGCAAACAGTGGGAGAGATGCTGCAATTGTATTGAATTATTTTATTTGGGTGGAACCTCCTGGTTGCCAATTCAACCAGATATTCCTTGTGTTATATTGATGACTGACAGGGAAGAAGAATTTCCCTTGTATTTTTTTTCCTGAATGCCAGTTTTGGACCATCCGCACTTATCTTACTGTTGTACCTTTTATAAGAGGCGAAATGTGTCTCAAATCAGCTGAGAAATTTAGGATTGACTACAAAAGCTATGGATGGTTGGACCTTTTAAAGGAGAATTCTGACAATTCTTCAGAATGTTTGCATAATTCAGTCAGTGAGATATAAACATATTCAGAGTGATTTGATGTGTTCTTTACAGTGATGGTGATGATAACCAAGGATCAGGAGGTCTACAATTTGCATTTATAGCAGTTTTATTTGCTATCCAAAATAACAGCCCATGTGGCTTAGTGTTTATATGTAATGAGAATGGTAAATAATAAACGTTTTCTGTTGGTGCTATTTTGCCTTACGTCACCCTGCATTAAAATTTATAACCATTTCATGTAATAACTTTCTGTAAGGTACATTTTAGTGGCATCATTTAACTGGTTCACTATCACTATGAATAATTCTGACTGGGTAGGTTTCTCACATCAAATCAGTCTGAATGAGTTTGTTTACACCTTATCGATTGAAAAATGCCGATAATGTTGAAAAGTCAGTGTCTCTAAAACCTAAAGAAATCTCAATCAGCTTTTCAACTACAATGTGGACCTCATTCATATAGCGACCAAGCGCTTTCAGAATTGAATCACATGCATCAGATCCCATCAGGTTAAGGTCTCCACTGTTTAGTGGAGATGTGCACGTGTATGTGGATTGAAGACTGATAGACTCTTTCTGTGAGAGATAATGCCTGTATGTGTGTGCTTGTGCCTGTGTGAGAGTACATTTCTAAACTTAAGGACTAAATTCAGTTTGCTTTTGCCTGTCATTTTTATGGAAGCCCACCAGTGAAATTATCAAAGTAGTAGTTATCAAACTATCCAGTATTGTTTCTTGGAATAATTCCATATCTGGCTCAGCAGCCTAGCCTTCCGTTACATGCATTGGGTATACACACACACTTTCGAATGGTCCAACTGCAGTCCCTTCAGCTTTGCCCCTGGGTTGTGGACATGTTCTTCCATGAAATATTTAATTTAATCAAAGTCAGTATGTCCTAAGAAAGGTATTTTGTAATAAACATTTTTTTTTTCATGTGGGGAAAAGTCTCTTTGTCTTCTGGTCCTGTTGTGAATTTGAGACGCTAGACACTGTTGAATATTGGATGTGGTCGTGTGATCGGATCGGAACAGCTGGTTGGCTGATTGTTTTCACCCGTGGTGTCAGTTTACTTGATTTTCTCCACTGGAGCCTTCTCAGGTGCAGAGTCAATACTCTTTCTTTTAGATGTCCCACAGTTCTTTGATGTTTGAAGGCCACTCCTACTTTCTGCCAGTTATACCAAAGGAAGCACTGTTCAAATGCTTTTTATATTGCTTGAAAGGACATTTTAGCCTAAAACTAGCTTTTAGGATATTATTTGTTGTGTTATGTAGTGTTCTGTTGCACAGCACAGCATCCCTCAGCCTCATTGGTTTGATAGAGTTTGCGTCTTCATCCACCAGTGTTCCCTCACTACATGATCCAGCATTCATTATGCAAACACAATATACAATGATTGGAACCCCCTCCCTGCCCACAGCAATAAAGACAGGATTGCTGGCACAGCCACTAATGTAGAAGCTAATAACGCAGACATAATATCAGGGTCTTGGCAGTAATGTTAGCTAAGAAAAGGAAACCATTCGCAATGGGCTGCTCTCAAGTAACCACCCCAAAGCACCTGAATTTTTAAAAATTCCACCCACCTTCATGATACATCAGAGGGGGGATTTCCTTGTCTTTAAACCAGAATATCTCGGTCGACACTACTCTTGTGCAGCTGTAGGATGTGACTAAGCATGTTTACGACAGATTTTTACGCCAACAGAGTGTTTCATCTTGGCCAGAGTGCCCCTGCAACAAATGTTCTTTAACTAAGTCTTATTCTTGAAGGGCAACATGGGAATGGATTGATCAGACATGAGAACTGCCAATAGGACCTTTATGTACAAACTAGTTTATGATGTTTACGCTAGGTAAGTTGCATGGCAGTGTGCCAAGGCAGACCTGTGGTGACCAGACCTTTTTATGGGCAGATCTACTTTCCTTCTGGTCCATAATAGAATTAGGAACAAAGTGAAGTTGATGAGAAAGACCATGCCTGAAACTTCACTACCCTCCTAGCTAACTGCCTATTCTCTATCTCTCTATTTGCTGTGGCAAAGTCTCCTGATCATAAAACCATCAAAGGCGTGGTTTGCATGCACAAACAACCATAACACATGAACACTCGGTTATCAGTGACTGTCAGGTTGTAGTCCAGCATTTGTCTACTATTTAATCTGCTTAGCACTTAGTCATTTGCATGTTGGTCAACAAAGCACCCATGTAGTACTATTTCAGGTAAGTCTCTTGAATAGAGCAAAATGGTACAATAAAAAAAATACATTGACTTTAATTCTTGACAGTATGTGAACACCATGAAGGTCAATTTCATGGCAAAAAGCAATAAAGAAGCCCTTACTTAAGTTAATAAACTACCTAGCTAAGTTTTACTGAACCAACTTTATTTTGCCTAGTTCATTGCAATGGGCTGTTGCTGAACATTTATAGACTAAGCCTCATCTTACTTGGGGGACCCACTTGCCCTAGTCATATTATTTTGCATGCACAAACAAAATAGTTAATAGTTCAATTGTTTTAATCTGTAAAAAGTGCTAAAGTAAATTTAATCTGTAAAATAAATGCTAAGGTAATCACAAAAAGATAATTGCCTAATTAACTATATATAGGAAGAACATAATCTTTAAACAACGACACTATGGAAATAAAATAACAGTAAAAAAATAAATAACTGCATTTAAAGCTATTGATTCATTCATTCATTGATTGAAGCAAAGTCTTTAATGATCTCTTCATAACATTTTTTTCTACCAATATCATGATTGACAAATTATTTAAAGAAAATCTACACGTGTGGGGTCCCTTGTGGCTCAGGGCCCTAGGCAATTGTTTATACTGCTTGTAGCAAGAAACGGCCCTTTAAGTAGGAATTAAATGAGTGCAAAATGTAACCAGTTCTGCTGTTAGGCTGTGCATACTGACCGTTTGCCATTACTGTTCTTAACACAAAGTATGTTATTTGTTCTTTACAAACATTTTAGCGTTTTATATAACACAAATAATCTAATTAAGATAACCTTGCCCCCTTCTCATATATAATTCATTTTTGGACTTTTAACTGACTAGGAATTTAGACTAAAACGTTTGGCTTTGAGGGACTCTATACCTTAATTATGTTACTTTTTTATATAAACATAACGAAATAAATTTTCGAGCATTCCATTTTGTTATAACACCACCAAAACTTTACCAAATGTTTCAGTAGTGACTGTTTCGGTAGTGACAGTTTTAGCTAATTTTAAGCAGAACTCAAAAAACGCAAATGCAGCTTTAAACAGTTGTAAACATCAAATCAGTTTTCACAGATTTTTCATTAAAACACAAAAAGTGAGTTTAAATAGATCGTAATATAGTATATATTATATCTCAATCTGAACAGTCTGAATACTCATTTGTTTTTAGGTAGTTTTTTTTTTTACGGTGGGACTGCAGTGTAGACTATTTCGGTAAAATGGCCCATATATATCTTTTTTTCGGAATTAATAAAATATTAACTATCAATTTATTTTACTATTATTATTCTTTATAGCCCGTATTCTTCCTAGCTTTCCCGCCTTCCTGCACTAGGATTGGCTAGTAGTTAAAGCCCTCCAGCACTCCGCCAATCCTAGCCCAGGAGAGGTGTTACTAGCCAATCCAGGCGGAGGAAGGCGGGATTTGTGGAAATATGACTGCGCTGTCACTGCATCCTCAGTAACGGCGCCCGCGCGGGAGCGGTTACCATGGCAACACAACTTCACCGCTGCCTGCATTGTTAGCATGAACCTCATTATGCTAAAGGTTTTACTGAAGGACAATAAGCATCGTTCTTCCTTTCTTTCTCTTTTCTTTTCTTTCTCACACTATGAGCAAGTACACTCTCCATTTACTCACCTCAATTTCACTCAACAACACCAACACCCGTCTACAAGGATGAGAAAAAAGTTTATTGTTGTACAGTATACAAAGGCGTCTGGAACAGTTATCACAGGTACAGGCTAAAATGTTTACAACAACCTGACATAACGATGAAGCACGATTTATACTTGGATAAACTATAATTTGAAGATTTTGTTTTAGAACTCCTTTCAAAGCTCCTACAGTCCTTTATGTCCTTTTGGCCGACAGAGGGCAGCACATCACAAGGCAAAAATCAATGCTCACCGTTCGGATGTCACCATTCACCTTCGGTTTAAGCCTACAGTCCTACCAACACAATACACTGTTCCGTATCAGCGTCCAGATGTCATTTAGGGTCGTCCAAACTACTTAACCAAACGTTCAGATGAAAATAAAAAATAAATAACAATGGTTAGCCACATAATTGCAATAATTATTAAGACCCTTGTTTATTTAGATAGTAGGGTCTCGTATCATGTCACAATAGTGCAAAGTAGTGGTGGAAGAAACTGTAAAAAGGTTGGGTTGAAGTCAGCACAGAGAGACCATACAAAAATAATAATTATAGCAAAAACAACTTCCTCAGAAAAGTCTATGTACAGTCAGCTTGAGGGCGTTTTGTGTATTAGTCAGTCTCAGAGTTCTAGATGAACTTTTTTTTAAAAGTCCCCTCACTCCTTCACTTCTTCTTAGCTGCTTTCTTGGCCGCTGTCTTCGGCTTGGGCTTGGCCGTTTTCACCTTCTTGCCTTTGCTCGCCTTGGCTGCCTTGGCCACCTTCGGCTTCTTGGCCACTTTCTTAGCCTTGACGGCGCTCTTCTTCTTCTCGGCCGCCTTCTTCACCTTCTTCTCCGGCGCTTTGCTCTTCTTCGCCTTGGCTGGGGACTTTGCCACCTTCTTGGGCTTGGGGGCCTTTTTGGGTTTGGGGGCGGCCTTGGCTGCTGGCTTCCTTGCTTTGGTCGGCGCCTTGGGCTTGGCCGGCTGCTTCTTGACTTCGTCGGCTTTGGCGAGTTTGAAGGAGCCTGAGGCTCCGATGCCCTTGGTGTGGCGCAGGAGCCCGCTGGCCACCAGCCTCTTCAGGGCTAGTTTGATCTGAGAGTCGGCGTTCTCGCCCACCTTGTAGTGACTTTTCACGTACTTCTGAATGGACTGCCGCGACGCCCCTCCGCGGCTCTTGTCGGCGACGATGGCCGCCTTGATCATGTCCGAGTACTTGGGGTGCGAGACCGCCTTCTTGGGGGTTTTCGCCCTCTTGGGCTTCGCCGCGGGCGCTGCTGCTGTCTCGGCCATGCTAGGCTAACTTTCAGAGTTTTCCGTTGGTCCGCTGGACAGCGCGAGAGCGAGCTGTCAAATTCAAAACTGAGTTCAAAACAAAACAGAAAAAACCGCCACACAAAGTAAGTTAGTCAGCAGCCGTTAGCACATACGGTTCTGTCGCCTCGCGGTCGATGCGATGTTTAAAGTAAATAAATTCCTCTTCACACGTAACGTAGCGGACTGAGAAGCAAGCTGGAAGAGTGTGTGAGTGTGTGTGTATGAGAAAGAGAGAGTGAGAGAGTGTGTGTCTATGTTATTCTCGCGTAGAGCCTATGAAGCCTCCACGCGGACGTGATTGAGAACACCAACTGCCAGCAGCTGAGCGAGCAGGCTTCCATGGAACCCCGCGCGCGCTCGTTTGTGTTTCTTCCTCCTCGAATTCGAGCCGAATTCGCGCGGCCCGGTCCGGCGCGGCCTCGTCCGACTGCCGTGTCCGATGCAGGAGAGTCCCGGCTTCGCGGACGAGCTCGCGTCTCGCGGGCTGGTGCCGTTCGACGAACTTTTTTTCCGCGAAAACCGACTCGGGGTCGCGCGCGAGGCGACGCATTTTGCACGATTCGGCCCAAATGGACCGGCGCCCGCCGCGCCGAGCTCGGCGACACCGAGCCCGCGCGAAACCGCGATCACTGCTGCGCGAGCAGCGCCCGGTTCGGTCCGTGCACGACGTCGTTTTGGTTTTTTAATCGGCGTGCGGAGTTGGCGAACTAACACAGCGCTGCCCGCGAGCCCGCGTGACGTTGTTCGAGTTATTTATCGTTAAACCTCGCCGAAATTGGACGCACGTGAATTAAAGTCGCCCCAAAATCGCACTGAGAACTCGCGTGCGTCCGAGGATTCGCGGGAAAACGCTCTCAAGTCACTTTTTGGTGTGCAAGAACAGTAGGAAGTGGCACTTAAAGCGCGAGTTCTCTGCGCTCGTAGGAAAGTTGCCAACAGACCAGCGAGAACGGCACCCAGTCCCGGTACCGGAGGGGGGTGTGTAAGGGGGCACATCACGGGCGCTCACCCCATCAGTGTGTGTGGGGTGGGCAAATAGGGCTAATGGGGTTTTTGGGATTGTCTCGAGCCTGAACGACACTTTAGACAGAGCTGCTTGGTCTCACTGCGCGCGTTCTTTTGTTGGAATCTCATTGGGGGAATGGAGCGCGAGCCGTCCGTCTTTCAAAACACTGATGACGTTCTCGCGGTCAACGTATATGTTTAGCATTAAACCGTCGTTTGACGTTTCTACCGCCCGTGTGTGGACTTTCTCCCTCACGGAGCAGAAAAACTCCCCGTCTTTTGTTTACTGCACTCTACAGTGCTGTGGTAGCCGCTGAGCGCCATCTTGGGTCTCCGGTTCGGAGGCTTTTTATTCCTCACTTTTCGCCCTTCACACTTTTCCTCCTAATCCGCCTCCTCCACTCTGTTATCCACCAGTGAACTGTGAGGGATTATCTCATCGGTGTTTTAGAGGTTCAGTACGTTTTGTTTTTGCTCGGTTTGTTCACAGGCCGCTCGGGTCCGGACTGATTCATCTTAATCAGCGTTCCAGACTGATGGCTGAAATGATGGTTGATTATTGATGATTACTGTTGATTATGGTAATGATTGATTATTGTTGGGCGGCTGGTGATAAATCATAAATTAATTTTACATCAGCCCAGCGACCTTTAGACATGTTTACATTCCTGTGGAGGACATAAAGCAGGATGCACGCGCACAGAGGTCCAGTCCATACACACAGACACAATCTTAATTTAGTGCCTCATTCACTCCTTCACGCACGCCTCTCTCTCTCTCTCTCTCTCTCTCTCTCGCTCTCTCTCTGTAACTCTCTTTCTCTCTCTCTCTCTTTGTGTCGTTCAGACAGACATGGGCTATAATAATAATAAGCGGAGAGAGACCGGCTGCGCGCGCACGCGTGTGTGTAACTGAGGGACTCTTCTGCTCGGTTCCGTCCTGCAGCGCCCCCGACCCGGAGTCACCGGAACAACAGAGAGAGAGAGAGAGAGAGAGAAGGGGGGCAGTGGGACAAATAAACTCTAAACACAGACAGGGGTCGTAACCAGTTACATTTACTCAGAAATTACTGCATAATCAAATCATTAAAATTGAAACAAAGTCACTCAGAGCAGAGCCAGCTAGAAGTTTTAGACTGGAGTGGCCCGGTCAGACTCATAGACTTGACTGGGGAGGCACACTGCTAAGAAAAAATAGCATTACTGTATTAGAATGACATATAAATTGTGTAAGATACATAACTCGCATTTGCAGACTTGTTGAACTCAATGTACTAAATCATTTCTACAGCAATTACCCTGCAAATACTCTCAGAATGTACAATATTTTAAGATTGAAATCATTAAAAGGTTCTCCTAGAAACGATGACGCTACAGGGCACTGGTTTCTAAACCTGTCACCTTTTTCTCTACTCATGTGTTTTCATGTCTGTTCATGAATTTGGTTTCCACTGAAAAGCACACAAGTCTAAGATCACCTTGTACAAAGCCAGGCGTCGGCTGTGGTGATGTAAAGCACATCGTCGAAGTCTGGAGCAGTACAAACATGTTCTCTGGAGTGATGAATCATGCTTCACCACATGGGCGTTGATAGGCCATCTAAGTGTTATTTAGCCCAGCCTTCCTAAGTAAATGTACATCCAAATCATCCGTAGTTTATTCTCATTAACAATATACTGTAATAGCAGAGCGTGACCTGGGGGAGGCGCTGCTGCTGCTGCTCTAATGCAGCGCTGCCTCTGCTGTACCAGAGATTGACTAAAGTAACGTTCAGCCAATCATGTCAGCCCTTATACGTCGTAAGCCAATCAATCATATCAGACCGCATATTTTGTAAGCAATTCTTATCAGACCTGGGGGAGGGTCTCTGTTTATGCACTGCAAAGTAATCGGTAGCTGAAGACAGGACTTTGGCTAAAAGCTCACTAAAATAAACATTACACCTTTTTCAAAATCTATAATATACAGACTGATACAATGTTGAACAGAGAGAATATATCCACCTACAATATGAATTCGTGGCAAATCATGGTCTGGACATCTGTTTTTACTTGGTTGCATGTTAAGTAGCTAGCTAGTTAGTTAACTTTGGGTTTAAGTGAGGTAAAGTAAAGAGGCTAGTCTAACACTAACATTAACGTAGCTAACTAGCTGATAAGCCAGTAAAAAGGTCGAGGCTTCCTGCTCACCAGATTCTTGTTTGAATTTTCCTGCTGTGAGGCGAAAGAATGAAACTGCTGCTGCATGTAAGATGGAAAATTCAAACAAGAAGCTGATCCAGCTTTGTGTGAGAAGGTCATTGCAACAGTTTTATATCCCTCAATTCCTTAACCTGTAGATAGAAATTAAGAGGCATCAGCTCCGTCAAAGGCCAAACATTTTTACCAGTTAAAAAATTGATCATTATTTCCTTGAGTTCTTGTAAATCTGAGTTTAATAACATTAATGTATTACTAAACACAGGAAGAGTGTGAGAGAAAGAAGCTGAGGGAGACCAACAAAACTGAAGGAGCAGATCTGATGGAGGTTAGTGAGCAAGAAGAAAGCAAGGGAGAGTTGTGTAAGCTTTTGGTTAAAATTAATACTGAATTTCATTTAACTATTCTGTCACCTAGCTCATTAACCATGCCAGCAGAGCAAAATCACACTCTTTCTGATAGCACCAACTGAGACTGAACTGATCTATAATCTGTGTGTTTGAATAATATATTTAGGACCTTCCAGCTTATCTAAGAGAGAGAAGATAGCATTGCTTGACTTCAGTGCCTTTGCTTGATCTGTGCCTGTTGTAAGTGGATGGATATAGTGTTTGTTATACTAGCTCTGTGCTTAATACAAACTACTGTTTGATATACTTAACGACTGATGTACTTGACATTTTCTGTCTGTTGCTACTCCAAAAGTGCATGATAAACATTTTGGGGCCATTAAAAAATTATCCAGTGAAAAAAAATCTTAATGTTGCAGCATACGATGACATACTAGAGATTTGTGTGCTTCCCACCTTTTGGGAATAATTTTGAGGAACATCCTTTCCTGTTTCAGCATGACAGTGCCTCTGTGCACTGGGGGGGGTAGTTTTTAAAAAACATTGTGGTGGTGATAGGAACCAGACATCCACCTCTAAAAGCTCCCTTAAAGAAAATTATTACATGAAATAGTTAAGAACACACTGACTGACAGATTATTTTTCAAGATACATTTTTAGCTTGAAATATATTTTTTAAAAGTCATTCCAAAAGAAAACATTTTTTTCAGATTTATCACTGTTTTACCATCATCAACATTACATGTAAAAACTCAGAAGGCACATGCTGTTTCACTGGTTGTAAATAATATGGCTGTATTTGCAGTGCAGTGTAGCTGCTGCGACCCCTGGTTCCTAATCACCACCATTGAAAAGAAAATCTGAGTCGGTACATTTCTCTACCATTTCATATCAAGCCACTCTGAATGACTTTGCATCGCAATGACTGAATTGTGCAGAAATTTCAAACAATGGGTCGAATTCCCCTTTAATCTGCGGCCAGAATCCCACAATAGTTTTAGTAGGTTAATTGGTTATTCAATTCAAATCAGCACAGAAGGAAACCAATCAGTCCAAGAACGAAGGGGTCAAGTAAAGTTTACATTATTGTATTGACTGTAATACAAGTAGACCCACTAGGCCTGTGTGTGTGTGTGTGTGTGTGTGAGAGAGAGAGAGAGAGACTCTCACCTGTGTTATGAAACTGTTATGTAGCTGTTTGACCAGCAGAGGGCAGCACCGCGCAGACTCACCATGACAACTACCCGGCGTTAATTTCAGTAACGGAGGGAGACGGTGACGGTGCAGCCAGTCAGGCTAAAATTAGAAAGTCGCGGTTAATCTGGGAGAAAAGCTGTTACTAAAGCCTTCAGTTTACTGCTGCTGTTCATACCTATGGATGCCCATTTCCACCACCTAAAAAATGAGCACGTAGTTTTTTCGTGATTAAATGAACTGTATTCCATAATTGTGAGATAAAGTATCTTAAAATAACGACTTTTTTTCTCAAACTAATGAATGAGTATCAGAGGCATGTTAATTAACTCAATAATGAAAATAGACACTGAATATATTTATTGTAAGTGTGAAAATGGGCGTCCATACCAAACAACAGGTTCCGACTTTTTAGTTTTTATCTTTTCAGTTTGGTGGAATTTTTTTTTTAGCGTTTTTCTGTTTTCATGTCTTGCCTCTGCTGAGAGCCGTAGATGCAATGCATCATGGGCATC